AATATAGAGGCCTTCATAATTACCTATAACATTTTGGGGGTTCCTTATTATATTCATAGTATAATGGGCCCCAAAGCCCCAAAACCCTATTCTAATTTAAACGCTTCGCGTCGTCCGCCTCGGCCCGGCAAACAAAGAGGGCCAACGAACTGTTGGTGCCTTGAAGGGGCAAGGGGGCAGCTGGATGGGTGGAAGGCTGGCGGCGGGACTGCCTACAGAGAGCCCAAATCCATTGGAGGAGGCGAGATTTCATCGCAGGACCTTGGGGCTCATTCATGGGTTCGCACAGACGAACCTGGGATTCACTGGAAGGGGACTAAGAGGTGGGGAATAGAGGGAATCCGAGGTCGAGGCGAAGTATTAAGGCCCCTCTATTAGGCTTGCAGAGATGCCACAACTGTCACGGTGTTCAGCTGACAGAAGAAAATCTCTCTTAAGAACATCGAGCTGACATTCCCGGAGCCGCAGAGGCCTTTAGCCACCTTTTCGTCGGAGCCTGCTGCCCCGGGCTTGTGGATACGGCTGCGTCCCGACCGTGGTTCAAAGACATGCCCGGGCCTGAGTGGGCAGGTGGCACTCTTGGTTCCGAGCCCTGAATCCCAAGAGTCCCTGGGCTGGAAATGGAACTCGAGCCCTGGACCCTGAAGCATAAACCCGAAACCCGAACCCTAAACCCTAAACCCTGAACCATGAACCCTAAACCTAAACCTTAGCTAGTAGCTTCCTTGTGGCTTGGCATTTGGGAGGTTTGCCATGGTCACGTTAGGCGCTCAGACGCTCCCCGACAGCGGAGTTGTTTCCAACTGAGAAGTCTCCTAAAACCCGGAACCACAAAACCCTAGACCACAAAACCCTAAACCACAAAACCCAAAACCCTAAACCCCAAAACCCAAAAGCCAACACCCTAACTTAACACATTAATCCACAAAACCCAAAATCCCAAACCCTAAACCCCAAGACCCAAAAGACCCCAAACCCCAAACCCGAACCCTGAATAGTTCCGACCCTACCTCCCCTTTGAAGGTCCAATGCACAGAGTCCGGCTGAAGCATCCACGGATGTGGCTCCTGGACATCAAGAGTTTAGGTGGGGTTCATGGGTAGTTATCAGATAGCCGACCGCATGGACGGCCCACGGCCCGTATAAAGCAGTTTGTTTTATACAAGTTGGGGGGTCGGACCCCTCATTTTACCCTAGACCCTAAACCCTAAAACCCTAAACCCTAAACCCTAAATTCCCACCAGGCCTGCTTAGGCCGTACCCACCCTTTTTCTAGGGTGCCTTGACCCAGACGATACCCGGCAGGGATTGACACCATTTCTTGGGATGGACAATGGGTGGAGTCATTGGAGAGTGGTCAAATTCAGCCCCTAGCCATGGCATGGGCCACCTGGGTGGCGCCCATATTTTTGCAGCTAGGCCCCCAGGCCAGGATTTCCGGAGCCTCCAGCGAGCACATTTTCGCTGAAATGTGGCCGCTTCCTGGCCCTCCCACCTTGCCCCCCCTTATTTCTGGTTGGGGCCGCCTTCCTGGCCCCCCTTGACCTTGCCATGGACGTTGCTGGAAGGCAGAGGTGGCCAGCCATAAACCCTAAAAGGTAATATTTTGGGTGGTAGCCTGTGTAAGCTCACAGCCGGCGGGAAAAGAAATGGGAACCAATTTGTAATTGTTTTGTGAAGAGATCGCATCTCCGTGTCTAGACGTAGATATGCCGCCCCCTCACACCCCTGGGTGTGTCGGGG